TGGAACGTGTAGAGCTGTCACATGATCACCTCTTCCCGTGTCAATGCCAGAGAAATGAGGTGCGTACATCTTTTCTACTTTTTTCTGCACTCATTATTTTGTAAAATATCATGTTCCTAACATGTTGTTGCTTAAAATGTCCCATTGTAGTTTCAAATGCATCCCTTTGATATGCTACTAGAATGCTGTGAGTGCTCTCCCTGATATCTATGTCAAAATATTTGATATCCCCAGGGCTCTCACAGTCCAGACCCTGCTTGCTGAATTGCTAATGCTGAAATTGTGCTTCCGCAGTACCAGTATCAATCTCATCCATATTTGGACATCATTGATTGTCTAAGCATCTCAGCTGGCATGCTCTATGCTTTAATGCCATCCAGACAATCAGTGCTGTCCAAATATTGATGAAATTGATATTGCTAATCTGCATTAGCAATACAGTGATAGCAGGCTGTCATAGTGACACCTGGTTTTGGTTAAATGTCTCGAAAAGAATCCTTTGAGAATCAATGTTTTTCTGTTGGCAGAAATAGCAGCAAATACATAAATCCATTTCAAGATTATTGGTCCTGTCATCTTTCTAAATAACCCCTGTGCAAGTGCTTCATTAAAATCATTGCTGCACTACATGATGCAGTCTTTCTATTCCGGTTTTTAAAATGGATATATGCTTGCCCCACTGAAGGCCAGTGCACTTCAAACAACGTCTTACCACTAGTCACAGTTTTATAATTGTCATTCTTTGGATGACTAAGTTGTAACATCACTAAATACCGGACTGTTATTATTTAAATCCTATATCATGGACTGTGGCCGATGAATCTTTGAGCAGTGATTTGAGAAGCACTACTGTAGACTGTCATTATAAGAGACCTAGTTATTTGAAAAACAATAATTAAAAAAACATACATCAGTGATGGTCACTATCCCAGTGCATGGAATAGTTGAGACATTGTTTGCAAAAAAAGTGAAGTGATAAAACTACTTTTTATGTTGCAGGACAAGGATGAACTCTGAACCTGACCCATTTCTATTCTGATGCAGTGTCCAATTCAAAGATATGGCAACACTTTTTTTTTGAAAGGCTAATCTATTAAAGTAATATATCTACTACATTTTGTAATGTTTTACATAGCGTTTCTTATATCTGAGCAAAAAAATGAATTATATTATACAAATTTGTTTATACAATAAACACTTTTTTTGCTTAAATGATATGCCCTGTTTATTGTAATGGGTTCTGGTATACTGCATATGAATTAGTATGTCTGTGTTTATGAATAGTGAGACTTTGTATTTCCTGTGAGGTAAAAGAGACTGAGAATACAGGAGTATAAAATAATGTATTCATTTATTGCTTCTGAGAGAGGTGAAAGTGTTTATACTGCTGATACCTTATGCTGCCTGAAATTTTGTCGATATTCTCCTTGTTAGTCTACTGCCATCATCAAAAGAAGTGTTTTTATGGTGCTAGTAGGATGCAGGCACCGTCCTATTCATCTGTGACCTTCACCTGCCATAATGCTTATACTGAAGATCTACTTTAACATTAGCAGTATGCATTGTCTACATTTAGATAACCGTGATAGACTGAGTGAGTGTGTCTCGCTCCACCACTACTCAGATACATATACCACTTCTTTATTTTCAAAATAGTTAGTCAATTAAGTACAAAGAGCATAAATACAAAAAGTATCAGATTAAAAATATACATTTACATGTCTTTAAAAATGAGATACATATTTCATAATGTAAAGTTTTTGTACGAATAGCTATGGGACTTTTCTTCATATGTATTTTTAGGTGTAAATTCAACATGCCTTTAAAGTTTGGTAAATATTTATGCAAATAGTCAAGAAAATATATTCAAAACCATTTGCAACCATTATTTGCAACCAATTTGCAACCAATGCTTCCTCCATTCTATATTGGTAATCTATTTGTTGCAATATCTCTGTCCACCAAAGTTTTACTGCTAAGGATATAGGCACATTTAAACAATTCTGGAAGCTGAGTGTTGAAAAGCAACATCTGTGAAGATAAGTCAAATCTAATCCCTAATAAGGATATTAAAAGATTTTGTAGAGACTTCATGGTATTTTTTAATTCGGGGGAATCCCCACCAAATATGTGAAAAGGAGCTGTCATTAACTACACATCTCCAGCAAGTTTGTGACAAATTAGAGTAAATTTTGTGTAGTCTAACAGGGTTTAAATGCCAATGCAATGTTAATTTATACAGGGTTTTTATTAAATTCATACTGTGTATGTTCTTCCTTACTAGCAACAAGCCCTTTATCCAACCCTCGTAGTTCAATTCAACATTCATCTCCTTTTCCCATTTAATCCATGGTAAAAAAAATTCTTGTGGCTGCAATTGTGTAAAGAGATTGGAAACTCTAGAGGTGGTCTTATATTTGTAATGTTTATTTAGAAAATCAATTAAAGGATGATCAATCTTTTTTTGTTTTTTTTTTAAATAAAGTTTTTCAGTCTAAAATAACTAAAGAATTCTCTAGGCAGAAGATCATATCTAGACTGAAGCAAATCAAAAGATGATAATATTACATGTGGTGCTAGATCATTTAAGCATTTAATGTTCTTTTCTCTCCACCGTGACAAATTAATATCTCCTATGTCCTATGTTCTATAGTTTCTAACGGCATATTTGACAAAAGAGAGTTTCGTAATCCCAAAGATGTAATCTTTCATTTGTAAAACAAATGTGTAAATGTCTCTGATTATTGGGTTTTGAGTGAAAGTAAACCTGCTTCTTTTACCCTTAGTATCTATACCTAACCAAAGTAAAAAGAAAGGTTCCAATTTTCCCAAGTCTTGTTTTTCAGTCTCGAACCATATGGGTCTTGGGGTTGAAAAATTATCCCACGCAATAGCATGTGTTGTAATATTGTTATACAAAGAAAATATATCTGTAAAAGATAAACCTAACCTTTTGAAATCTCTGTATAAAATGTTTGAAGTTAATCTGAGGTTTTTATGCTGCCAGATAAATTTAATAATTATTAGTTGAATTTCTTTAAGGACAGTATTATCAATTCTAAATGGTGTATTTTTAAATAAATACGTCATTTTTGGAAGCAGGTAAGATCTTATAATGTCTGCCCTGCCCGTCCAGGATAATTCCATCCCTTTCCAGTTTAATAAAGTATTTCTAAAATCACCTAATTTAAAATTATAATTTTCTTTTTATAATTTCATCAAGATCCATATATACCAGTCGAATTTAAATCTTGATTTGATATACTCAAAATCAAGTATAGTATTGTCTTCTCAAGTTGGCCAGAGGTTCCATCATCAGTATGTACAGCAGTGGGGCAAGAGAACAACCCTGCCGAGTGCCGTTTCTAATTTTAAACCAATCTGAAAGAAGCATATAGCCAGAGATCCTAGCTGTAGGTTTGGTGTACAAAAGCATAATACTCTTCCTAAATGTACCCTCGATGCCGAAGGCTCCCAATACCGCCAATTCACCTGATCAAAGGCCTATTCGGCATTGAGGGCCATCATAATCGAGTCTTCCTCTTGTAAATTCATATGATAAATTATATTTACCTTTCTGGTATTATCGTTAGTACTTCTTCCCTTGATAAACCCACATTGATCTAAATGGATTAAATCTGGGAGAACTTCCTCCAACCTCTCGGATAAAATTTTAGAATACGTTTTTATATCCAAGTTAATAAGGTATATTGGCCGGTAATTTGTAATAGAAGTAGGATCTTTATTAACCTTTGGTATTGGAGTAATGGTAGCTTGTAACATTTCAGATGGAATAATGTTACTAGAATTAAATTGGCTATATGTTCTTAATAATAAAGTTGATGATAGTTTTTCAAATTTCTGAAAAAAAACCTGCGGAATACCCCTCTGGCTAAGAAGACTTATTTGATTTCAAAGAATTAATAAAAATTTTAATTTCTGATATTGATATAGGCTTATTCAAAGACTCTAATTTATCAGAAGAAATGTTAGAAAGTTTGAGATTATCTAAAAAAAATGACATTTCTACATTAGAATGACTATGATCATCTAAATTGTATAAGGATATGTAATAGTCCCTAAATGCTTGGCTAATCTGTTTGGGAGTTAGAAGCTTTTTTTCCTTCACCACATTTTTTTAAATAATGTCTGCACTTTTTATTTTTTAACTTGTTTTTTTTTAAATTTTACTGGATCGTTTAGCAGCATAGTACCATTTTTGTTTTAAAATTAGGATGGCTTTATTCATTTTTTCAGTGTCTGTTCTGCTATATCTTCTCTCACCTTTTTGATCTCTGACATGGTGGAGGGATCTTAGGTGACCTTACTCAATGTTTCTCCAAACTTTTTTTTTTGTTTGTTTGAGTACCATTTAATACATACACTATTTAATGCAATGCTACTTCCTAAATTTCTCCTCATCTGGCTCTATATTCACATTTCTTTTTTTCTTACCTCATTTTTTTTTCTCCCTGCCATGTTAGTCTCCTTTAAATTTGTTTGCCCTATTTTCTACCTTGATTATTTCATTCTCCCTCCCTTTCATCACATTGTAACAATAAAATAATCATACACCTGTAACATTAAAGGATCACTATAGGGTCAAGAACACAAACATGTATTCCAGACCCTATAGAGTTAAAACCACCATCTAGCCCCCTTTGGCCCCTCATGCCTCCATGAATATAGAAAAATCTTACTGTATTCAAGCCAGAAGCTGTAACTATGCATGCTGTTTGCCTCAACAAAAAAAACAAGCAGTCTGCTGACATCATCAGAAGTGGTAGCCTGGTCCAATCACAGAGCTTCCCCATAGGATTGGCTGAGACTGACAAAGAGGCAGATCATGGGCAGATCAGCATGATTCAAACACAATTTCCAATTGACAAAATATATCTATGGATAGGGTTAGTTTGCCCATTCCATAGATAAAAACACCTTTATTGACACTCCAGCAGTGTCATATGGGGCATAACCCCTATTCCTAGAATATTGAAAAAATTCACAAATCTGAAGAAAAACACTCCAGATAAGTAAATAGTGACTGGAAATTAGATTTGGATAAATATTATCAAAATATGAAAATAATAATAAAGCAAAAAATGTTTGTGAATATACCAAAAAGAGGTCAAAAAACGATCAATATATAGATCTCCACAGCTATCAATAGCTGTACCTCCCTAATGTCTATGTTGGTTGATGTCAAATCAGACTTCTGACTTTAATATTATAATCAGTGTCAATGTCTGAAAAATATGAGAATACAAATATCATAGACATCTATTCTAATTTAACACAGCATTTGTATCAAAATATCAAATATATGGCAAGCTTGCAACAAAAGTTAAATGTAATGCTGCTGCCTCATTGTTCAAGTTGTGCTGTGTTAAACCTGTAGCTAGAGGGGGGTGAAAGTAACCTGTTATATACTATTCAACAGGCTAACCATTAATGTAACTGTGTATGGGATTGCATTCATTTCAGCCCCTGACGAAGGTGCACGTTAGCGGCACCGAAACGCGCGTCAGGTTTTCTTCACTTTTCTTCACTTCACAGGGCACACTGTCACATGTGCAGGGACCAACATTCTAAGTATGGTCCTGCACATTAGCACGCATTAACTGTTTTTCTTTCTTCTTTATTCCTCCTGCATATTCTTTCCTAGTACTATTGGGGGAGTGAACCTAAATATACCTGTTCTTATATCTAGTATCAAAGGCAGCCACGATCAGTCAGTTGATTTTTTTGATGGCAATGTTGCTATTTCTATTGTTTATTTACAAGGACTGGATATTTTGTTTCTGTTGGGTATTCACGCAATGAATGCAATCCCATACACAGTTACATTAATGGTTAGCCTGTTGAATAGTATATAACAGGTTACTTTCACCCCCCTCTAGCTACAGGTTTAACACAGCACAACTTGAACAATGAGGCAGCAGCATTACATTTAACTTTTGTTGCAAGCTTGCCATATATTTGATATTTTGATACAAATGCTGTGTTAAATTAGAATAGATGTCTATGAAATTTTATTCTCATATTTTTCAGACATTGACACTGATTATAATATTAAAGTCAGAAGTCTGATTTGACATTAACCAACATAGACATTAGGGAGGTACAGCTATTGATAGCTGTGGAGATCTATATATTGATCGTTTTTTTGACCTCTTTTTGGTATATTCACAAACATTTTTTGCTTTATTATT